AGCCTTTTACGGTCTAGTTTCTTGAGATCTTTATATATTTTGGAGATCAGACCTTTGTCAGTTGCGGGGTTGGTGAAGATCTTCTCCCAGTTAGTGGGTTGCCTTTGTGTCTTAGCGACAGTGTCCTTTGCTTTACAGAAGCTTCTCAGTCTGGACAGCCATCAGAAAGAAGTGGCTATGCCACACCCCACTTCTCAGGTATTGATTCAGTGTCTGTTGTGGACCCAGATATCTAACATTTTAATAAGCATGATTTAGTGTCTGTCGTGGACACAGATATCTACCATTTTAATAAGCACTCCCTGCAAATGTGATGCAGTAATGCATGGCCCTTTCGGGGAAATGGTCTGATGGGGATGGCGTCCATTTCAGTCCTGGTCATTTAAAGGAACCCATGCAGACTTCTGTCATCTGGGGAGTCTATGAATGTCATTGTTCTACAGTGTGCTGCTCTTGCTGCTACCTGCTCAACAGGATGTGTTCCTACAAGGCATCACAGACCAGCTGCTGGTCACACGGATGGGAAGAGAAAAGGAAATGACTCACCTGGTGAGTCCCACATGATCTTGTCACTCTTGCTTAGGTAACAGGCTGACCAGACCACACCACACTTGGTTCTTCTCCAGGAGTTGGTTCTGCATGGAAAGTTCACTGTTTTCTCCCCTGTTCTACTAGAAGGCAGAGAAGGAGGAGAGAAATCTCATGGAGAGGGGAGGAAGGCAGATGAGAACGCTCATGCACTCTACTGTACTGAATATAGGGATGGAGTAGTCTGTCTGCATCCAGTCAAGTCAAAGATGTGCAGTGACATCTTCCTCTTCTTTGTTCATCTCACAGACCCTTCCTATACAGACACACACACACACACACACACACACACACACACACACACACACACTCACACACTGGTGACACTGATGACTCACATACTGGAAACAAGGGCTCATGTCAGCTTCTTGTCAACCTTCTGTGTGTACTCTCTACAGTCTTGTTGTACTTCTCATAGAAGAGACCTGACATTGACAACCTTGAAAAGGAACAAACTTGGAGGATGAACACCTGACTCCCAAACTCCTTATAAACATAGAGAAATGAAGACAGTGTGCCTCATTGGTAATTACAATAAGACAGAAAAGAATATGAAAGGGACAGAAGAGTCACACACGTGTGAGGGGACACCTTTAGCAAAGACACAAAGACACTTCAGTGAAGCAGGCATATGCTGGTCACCGAGTTTTTCTGGGACTGTTGGTGGTTATAGGAGGTACAGCCCAGCATCGTGATCAGCTGCCTAAGGATAACCCTGTTCCTTTGATGACCATGTCCTTGGTAAAGCTGGATCTATGATTAGGCTGCAGAAAAGAATTTCAGGAAAAGCCAGAATGAAGCAAAGCTTGTGAGCTTATTCATGCTATGGAAGAAGCTCACATAGTATAGGGATGGCTCAGGAATGAAGGCCTGAGTGAGGACTAGAGAGACTTGAGATTAGGGTGTGTGAGGAGGGCAGGAGAGTGAGAAATGTGAAGATTTTTATGGTTCTCAGAGTTACATTGTTACATTATTACATTGTTTGAAAATTACATGCTTTGAGTCTTTGAAATGGTTCTGTTTTTCCACTTGAAGAAAATATACAATAGGTTATTAAAAGTAAAAAATAAAAATGCTTTTAAATGTTCTTATCCCTTTTAAAAAAATTTTAGTAAATTAAATTGTAAGGTGAATATGTGATTCTGCAAACATTCTGGTCCTAAGTAAGCATAATTAATTAATTTTTTTAATGTTTTTCACAAGGAAGTCTGTGCACCATCTGAGTGAATACCTATTGCTCACAGAGGACACCAGAGTTTGAGATCTCTCAGAACTGGAGTACAGACAGTTGTGAATCATCAGGTAGGTGCTGGGTATCAACCCTGGATCCTCTGGAAGACATCCAGTGATATTAAAGAATGAACCCTATCCTCGGACCCTAGTTTATTTGCTGTAATTTTTAAACACTATTTGGGATGTCTTTAGTACTACTTGCATTATATCTGTGGGTAATTTCGACTCTATCAGTTGGGTGGAGGCTTCTTGAATGTCAGTTAGAAAAATGTAAAAATGATCACAGGGCCGGGTGGTGTTGGCTCACGCCTTTAATCCCAACACTTGGGAGGCAGAGGCTGGCAGATCTCTGTGAGTTCGAAGCCAGCCTGGTCTACAAGAGCTAGTTCCAGAACAGGAACTAAAAAGCTATGAAGAAACCCTGTCTCGAAAATCCAAAAAAAAAAAAAATGATCACAGGGTGAGGGGCTGTGTATTCCCCTCTCATATCCCCTTCAATGCCCTGTTTTTCTGTCTTATTATGGGACAAGTGGGCATCCTCATGGACAAATATAAATATAGACAAGTTGTTTATCACCGGATACAAAAGTCAACCAAAATTAACAAATGATCTACATAGGACTAGAGAGACATCTCCGAGGTTAAGAGTGCCTTTGGCTATTGCAGAGGACCTGACTTCAGCTTACAGTCCACATATGGTGGCCCAGAGATACCTATAACTCCTGATCCAGGGGAGCTGACAGTCTTTTCTGGTCTCAGCAAGCATCTGCATTCAAATGTGCATACGGCACACACAAACATATAGGCAGATACCCAGTAAATAGTGAAAGCAAATCTAAAAGGTAATTAATCCAAAATACAACCTAAGCATGAATCTTGTAACAGAAAGCAATTGAAAGAATTATAGACAAAATTCATAGATATAACAAACCCCTTTTATGAAAAGAAGAACTGGACTGTTAGGACTTCCATAAAGTGAAAAATGTACACTGTGATATAAAAGATATTTTCCCTGCCTGGGAAAAAATGAATGTAGGAAATTGTGTATTAGATGACAGCCTTATTGTTTCCAGAATACAGAAAGCCTAAAAAAGAGTCACTAAGAAAATACACAATTCATGAAATAAAAGTTGTTCAGAAGGGTGAGTAGATGCTCCACTAAGAGAAACATACAGCATCAACATCCTTAACACTTAGGGAAGAGAGACAGGTGACTCTAGGGGACTCTTGACACCCCCACAAAATATTCAGAAATAATAATATGAAGACCTGGAAAGGTTGTGGGGGATGAAACTATCATACTGACTGCTGGTAGCCATGGGAAATAGGACAATAACTTGGAAAAATATTTCTCAGTTTCTTGATATGTTAATTGTCATTTGACCAAAGCTGTAACAACTTTCCTGATGGAGCAGAGCTGTTACTTTGAGGAAAGCTTTCCCTGAAGCAGATCTGTAAGCTGCTAAGCTTATACTGACTTTGTGGTATTCCTTGCATCTGGACGGCCAGGATCCCTTTACATTTGAGCTGAAATGTTTACACTACACATATATGTTTTTAATTGTACTCATTGTCTGGCAGAAAGACATCTCCACTCTGCCTTATGGCATCCAGGTCCAGAAGGTGCTAGCCAATCACAGACCAGCCAGAGTCCTCAAAGCCTGGTCTGGCTGGTAGACAACCAGAGGCCTGCCCAGAGCTACAAGGCTTCCATTACAATGAGCAAAATGTGTGGTGGAGAAACAGGAGAGAAAGAGTAGCGGGATGGTTCATGTGCTGTGAAAAGAGGGGGAATAGAAGGTGGTAAGGAACAGGCTGAGGGGGTGGTCTTCTTGTCATTCATGGTCATGGGGTCATCAGGACCGAGGTTGCTACCAAAGGTCATTTCTGGGTCTCTGTTCTTATTGCAGCTTGGGTCTATGTTAACATCCATGGTCCACGCTGCCACCAAAGGGCACACAGGAGCCTGGAGTCTGGGCTGTGTCCTCTGGCCTTGTTGGGATCTGAGCGCTGTGTTGCCATTGGAGTGACAATGATCTGAGAGACCCGAGCTGCCAACCTGGGCCATGGTGTTGTCCATGCCTGAGCTGCTGACCAGGGCCATATCTGTGACCCAGCAGTAGCCAGGGTCTTTGTCTTCCTGACTCCTGTTACCAATGAAGGCCATGCGGATGCCTGAGGTGTGGGCCACCACCTGAGGCCACGTTGGTGTCCAAAGGCTTTGCTGCAGCTGGTGCCATCCTGATCTGTGTGGTCTGTGAAACCACCCGGGAAATGGTGACATCAAGGACGAGTTGTTGCCAGGATCATGTTGGGTCTATGGTCCTACCAGAGCTAGGGTATGTGCTGATGTTTGTGGCCCATGTTACTACAGGGGGCCTTAAGAGCCATGAATGATGATATCCAAGGGCCAGAGTGAGCTGGTTCTGCCCTTTGGTGGACATTGTGTCAAGAGCTGGCCCTGACTTTCACAGGAGAGCTAGTCCCACACCTCACCATGGGCATTGGAAAACTGGGCCTGGTGCCATGGGCATAGGTGAGCTGGCTTCGGCCCTATCCTTAGGCAGGCAGCTGATCAGCTCAGCTACCACCCAGGTCCATATTGGGGTTCTTGGCTTGGCCCATCCTAACATCTACACCATCTAAGGCCTACTGGAATGCTGGAATTGACTGGTCCTGGGGAACAATACCTGCAGAATCTCTGTTACTTGGGGTGACTGCAGGATATCCTAGAGGAGTTTTGTTGAGGGTCCCATGATGATAGTGTACCAGAAACTAGAGGCCATGAACAAGTTCAATGACTCATTGCAATGAAAGTTTACAAGTAAATATGTTGGACAAAAAGGTATACTGTGTGACTCACCTTATATGTAGATCGTATTAAAGTGTAATAGAAGCCCGAGTACTGCTTCTGATGACTTCAGTTGGATCCCCAGGACTCACATTGTGGAAGCAGAGAAATGACTCCTGCAAGTTGTCCTCTGACCTCTACAAGTACACTGTAGATCATGTATGGCCTTGCCAGACACACAAAATAGGCAGACAAATAAATGTAAAAAATGTAAATGGACATAACTTACCAAACACAAAACAAAAGCCAAAAATAACCGATGTTCTTATTGCTGACTGAAATAGACTCTAAAATGATTGCTTTTTTCAAGACATATATCTGAAACAAAGGCATTAAAATGTTAACTTGAACACTTAAAAAGAAGTAAACACATACCATCCAGGAACGAATTATTAGAAATCTAGAGTTATAATCTTAACGTTTAAGAAAGAACTAAAACTAAAGTGGAATAAAACAATTTTAAAACATGCAGTAATGTTATGTGTAAAATTCATTAGGAGAATGCAAATCTTTCATACTTATATTTCAGTCACACAGCAAAATATGGATTGAAGGAGAATTACAAGAAAGTATAAAAGCCGATTAATAATTGCAGATGAATGCAAAGTAGTTTTCTCAATGTGACCACAATCATAGGAAAATAATTTATTAAATGAGAGGCCCTGCATAACCTAACCTCAAAGGCATATGCCCTGGGAAGACATATGGAACTCTTAAGTCTGATATAATCTTTTTTGTTGAAAGCATGGATTATTCCGTGATGGGAACTTCATTTGATGTGTAATGCAGTTTCTCCCCCTTTCCTTATCAGCATTTACAGGTTATTATTGACAGTCAGAAACAAATGAGAGAAATGTCCCAGAGACAAGTCCATGGCCATCGTCACAGATATCACACGCAAAAGACATACATAATTTTGTAGCTCTCACTATCCTGTGTGTGGTCAGAGATGAATGTGTTTTAACGTGGTTGTACCCCTTGAGCTCTCAGTAAACACCAGGGAGCTAGGAGAGTGAGAATGAGAGGTGTCGTGTGTGTGTGTGTGTGTGTGTGTGTGTGTGTGTGTGTGTGTGTGTACAGGTATTCCTTGGCAGAGGCTGGTCTGCAAAGACTGGTTGATTGACTCTTAGACATGCAGTGATATGGAGATGGTGGAAGTCGCAGTCCCAGGGCCTAATTACAATTTCCTTTGTGTTCTCTTGAGCCCATGAGTAGCCACTCCTTGGGCCCCCTGTGCTGGACTTACTTAACACCTTGTCATTAACAGATGACGTTGGACCTGACATTTAAAATATCAGAATATGTCTCCTTATCAAAGCTTTAAGTTTCTACCAGTCAAAGGACTGCTTTTCATCACATAGCAGCTAGTGCCTGTAGCTGAGCTTTCTCTGCTTTACCACAACAGTCTACTTAATATTATCACCCATGTACTTAAGGAGAGTCTATAGTTTCTTCATTCTGTGATTATAAAAACTTCATGAAACTGTTTCCACATTGTAACTTGCAATTTGTACTAACATAAACCTGTCTCACTCATGTTTACTCACATATATTTGACTCCAGAATGAACTCTCTTCTTCCTTCGAGGTGAGAGCTGTGTGTTTACATTGACAATTGTTAGTGTGTGTTGTGTATATACTCATGCTTGTGCAAATATGTCCCTGGATATATATGTGTGAAAGTTAGTTAATCACTTACTGCTGTGATAGGTTATGTGTTATAATTCTCCTGGTCCTCTTCAATGATGACCTGGTGTGTAGTACACTGCTTACTTATCTCCATAGTTCTTTACTCATGTGCTGACCGATATCAGTATGGCTCAACACCCATTTTCCCAAACTGTTTTCCTCTATTGCTATTCTCTATTTCCATGCTCCATTTGTCCCAGTATGGCTAAAGGAATCCTTTTAAGATGGCATCTGTGTTCATCTGGTGCCTCTGGAGAGGAGATGGAAAGTCTAGGAAATCCATCCATTCCAGTGTCAGGGGATTCAAGGTGACCATCACATTCATATTCTCTACAGAGCACCACTCTGTATCCCGTGTGCACTGCCCACTTTACACTCAGGGAGGATGAAGTGAGTTGTGGAGCACTACAGTTGCTGCAATCCATAAATGGAACTGCTCTAGTATTGTATCAAGTTTCCAAACACACTGAAAACGCATTGCTATTCCATAAAACATCAGCCCCTTTAAAGAAAATAAATGTAGGCATGTAGTTTGAATGCCACCTCCTGGCCATAATGGGGACTACATCAGTGAGAGTCTTGGGCCCAGTGGCGTCTATGTTTGGGTGGGAGGGAACATTGGCTGTGACCTGGACTTGAAGGGACCTTACCTCTGGAGATAAAGCAGTGTTTTTTCACTTCAGTATATTTTCCTGGTACATAAACCTTGACATCTTAGGTATATCAAATGTAAACCCGAGATTGGAGACCAATCCCAGTCTAAGGCTAACATAAAGCAGCCTCATTAGATAGAGATGGTGGAGCTCTGTGTGCAAACACACACACACATATGCACACAGGCATGCACAGAGCATGAGAGTAGATTCCATTTGTCCTTCTACTTCATTGCCCAGAAACGGAACACAATGACTACTTCTAAAGTACAGAAGGTATAAACATCGTTTATCCAGTGTGTGGTTGTGTGCCCGTGTGCATATGTGTGTGCTTCTGCAATTGTATGCATACATGCATGTGGTCAGGGGACAGAAGGCAGCCTCCGGTGTTGTACCTCAGGCGCCATCCCCCTGAAGTTTTTCTTAGACAAGGTTTCTCACTGGCCTGGAACACGCAAGGCAGGCTGGGTTGGCTGGGCAGCACACTCCAGGGATAGGCTTGCCTCCACCTTCACACACAAGCATGTCCCACCACACCTACTACTTTTCCTGCTGTAGTTTAACTTCATTTTCTTGATGATGCTCTCTGTGAATGACACTCAGGGCCTCATGCCCACAAGGCCAGCAATTTATTGATTTAGCTGTCTCCCCAGCCCCACTTTTACCACCCGAGCACAAGCATTTTTCTCAGTTTACACTTTAAAGTACTTTCCTTCCTGGATACGAAATTTCAAACACCACAGGAAAGCACATGTAGTACCATAAGGAAATCTGTGTCTGTCGCCGGGCTTATTCCTACCCCTAAGGCACAGGGCTGTCTGCAGGGAAATCTCCAGAGAGTGAGCTATCTGAGTAGAGTGCCAGCCGCCATTTTCTGTGCGCCTTGCTGTATGTGGTGGTGAGGAAGTCACTTCCCCATTTAGGGGATGGTAATCTTTAATGTGTCTGCCAGGGACACACAGGGCTCTGCCTAACATCCAGTGAAAAGAGGATGGTTTCCCATGACAGAACTAAGCTGAAACTTTCCCACAGTGAATGGAATGATAATAGTCCTGCTAACTATTTTGTGTGTTTAGTGCAGAGTTTCAGAGCAGCCCAGCCCAGCCTGGGACTCTTCCCCTTCCTCCCTCAGCCTTCAGAGTGCTGCTGGTCCTCCCAGCTTACCACACTGCCCCAGCTCAAGTATTCATTTTAATGTAAACACATTCTTAATGCTACTGTTTTCTTCTCGGCCCAGTAACATTTTCATTCCATTTCTACATGTATATTGTTGAATTCCCACGAAATAAGTAATTTTATCATTGATTTCCCTGCAAAAATTTATTTTATAATGATCCACATCTCTTGAAAAACCATGTACTCTAAGATTGTTTTTCTAAGAAATTTCACATTTTCTGAGATATTTCTGGTTTTTGTTTGGTTTTCATTTTGAGGCAGGGCCTCTCTGTGCTATTAAGGCTGTTCTGAAACTTCTTAGCAGTAATGATCGTGTAACCCCAGTGTTCAAATAGCTGAAAGTGCACGCATTTGCCACCTAACGCTGATGAAAACTGTTCGCATTACTGCCTGGCATTTGACCATTTTTCTTCATTGTTTCACAACAATTATTTTAATTTGTACATAATTTTAAAATATACATAACTTAATAATAATTACGTTGTGTATATTCCTATGTGTATGTACACATGAATTCCGGCGCCTCCAAATGTCAGGAGAGGTCATACCTTCCTGGAGCTGAGGTATGGTCCTTCAAGGATGTTGGAAATGGATGCTGGAAACTACCTTGGATCCTCAGCAACAATAGAATGCACTCTGAACCACTGAGTCATCTCCCCTGCCAGACTGTAGACTGTTAGATTCCGTTAGCCTTTATAATGTTCATATTTTAAATTCCACTGTGTTTTCCCCTTGGTCAATGACCTGGAGTTGATGCTTCTTTTTTTTTCTTGTTTAGATTTTAGTTATACTTTTAATTATGTCTGTCTGTCTGTCTGTCTGTGGTATGCACATGATTGGCAGAGGCATTGACTCCTGATGGGGCTAGAGTTAAAGGCAGTTGTGAGCTATCTGCCATGGGGGCTGGGAGCCATACTCTCATAAACAGTAATGACTCTCTTGTCTCTTTCCTCCTCCCTCTACGCCTTGAGTGCTGGTATTACAGGTGAGGGTGAACATGCCCAGAGGGTCAAAGAACACAGAGCAATTTCCATTCTAGGCAATCATTCTGCCACGAGAGCTATGTCGCCAGTCCCCAGACTGTGGCTTTTTAAATTCACCAGTGATTTCTTTTCATGGTATAGCATTCTCATTGAACAGCTACCAGAGAAATCAAGAATATAGCTGGGAATGTGTGCACAGCCAGGGGAGCAATAGCAGTGTCTAGGGACCACTTTTAAAAATCCCCAAATGTGCTCCCACCACATTTGTGAAGAGCTTGGGACAGGGCCGTCAGATGCTGGGCAGATCTAAGTGCTGTAGCATCCTCGAGTCCAGCCTCTGGCAAGGACATCCTGTTCCTGAGAGCATGTCTCCTGCCAGCAAACCTACCTTACATGCCCAGCTTCCCAAAGGTCAGCAACAAGGGACTAGAGGCTGTTGTTGTACTGTCTGTGGATGTGTGTGCACAGCCAATGACCCAGACCCTGCAGAAGAATCACAAAACAGGAAAAAGGTTGGTCAAAGAATCAGACACATAGTTAAGCTCAGTGCTGAAGACATAAAAAAAGAAAATTTGGAAATATAGCATAGTGTGTGGAAATAGAAATGACGGAGAAAGAAGAACAGGATTTCCCTTGCACGGAGATGTGAGTGTATGTGTCCTGATGTGGGGCTGTGCCTCCCTAGGAGTATGGGGACAATGATGAAGGGATCCCAGACATATCTGAGAAGCCGGATTCTGCGTTTGGATGTCTGTACAGCAATGGTTCTCAGCCTTCCTATGCTGTGACGTGACTCTTAATACAGTCCCTCATGCGTGGTGATCCCAACCAGAAAATTATTTCTGTTGCTTCATCATCGCTGTAAAGTTGTTACAGGTAAGAATCACAATGGAAATAGTTTTGGAGATAGACGTTTGCTGAAGGGGTCAAGTCACAGGTTGAACCACTTTTCTAGAGTCAGAGAGATGTGGGACCTTCCTAGCCCCAGCAACTTTGGTTCCCTGAGCCAGGATGTCCTGGACCCATTCTCCAAACACAGGTTGGGAATTTCTGTGAGGAGAAAACAGAGTGAGACCCTCTGCTCTGAGCTGTGCTTCCCACTCTGTGAATTGAGAGCATCACACTGCTCATGTGCTAATTTGGGGGTCTTTAGTGATAATACCTGCTTTAAATACCAGTCACAAGTTCCTGCATATGTGACAGACTAATGTTGATATATGCAATTGGAATTACAGGCTGGCCTTGAACTCAGACATCCAACTGCCTCTGTCTTGTGAATGTTTGCTCCATTCCCTGCTGTCAAAAATAAGCATTTCTAAAGGCAGTCTTCTTCTGGAGAAATAGGGACAAACAGTTGCTGCAGAATTTAGAGACTGATTTCACTTCAACTCTGCCTAAAACCTACTCACTTCCTTCATCTGTAAACCTGCCAAGAGCAGTACATGCTGTAGAACAGCCATTTTCAAAAATACACTGAATTTTGGGTTCACTTTTTAAGAGACAAATGTTAGATTCTTATTCTGTTGGAAATTATGCTACAGTTAGCTGTACTTAGAAAACTTTACATCTGAAAATTATTCATCAGCAACTCGTTATCAAATTGTTAAGTTTTACAATGACTAGTTTGGGTATTCAAACTATCCTGTGTCAATACACGTGGAATAACTGATGTCAGTAAATGGAAGCACCGTGTCTCCATGTGGTCAGACAAATCCAGAGATGTTAGAGCAACGTCTCCACAAGGAAAATGCACAGCGCATCCAGGTGCTATCTGCCCTCTCCCAGACAAGGCTGCACAGGGCAGCTCTCCTGCTGATCACTGCAGCATGGCTTCATCCCTCTTTCATACCTCCATCCCTCCCCTGTCTTCGGAACCATCTCCACTGTCTCCACACACTACCTCATCCCGCCCTCCCCAGGCCTTTCTCTGTGCAGTGCCAAGTCACCTTCTACCAAAAGGAAACATATCATGACAATTCCATAACTCACCTTCCACACAGATCATATAATCCAAATGTCATACACAGCTGACAATGACAACATTTTCCTTTCTGTCCTATCCCCAAGCAGTGTCCACGTTGTCTTCAAGGTTCTGGCAACTAGCCTTGTTCTCTGCTCTTAGATCCACTGTTCTCCATGGAAGCAAGCACGCCCACAACTTGGTTTGTGCACGGTCTTGCTTCTATTTGCCATTCAGGACTCAGATCACATGCTAACTTCTGAAACCTTTGGGGGTAACATCACATACGACAATCCCCATCACAACTATTTCCTGTCCCCTTTATGATCTTTAAAGCGCCAATAATACACGGAATTGCTGTGATTACTGATTTCTTCTGCTTACTGACAGTTTGCCTATCTAACACGATATACAAGGACCCGTGCTAGTCTACACAGTGCAGGAACAAGGTGTTCACTAAAGAGGCCACTATGTGAATATCTGGATAAACGTACACGAAGGAATTGATTTGTCTATTTGATATGCCATGCAACACAGTGGTATTTAAGGCAGTAACAAGAGAACATGGCATGGACTTAAGCAGTCTGTGACTTCATATCCTGGAAGACAGAATATCAAACACACTAGCAATACGTTTTAACATGGACAGCCATCAGAAAGAAGTGGCTATGCCACACTCACTTCCTAGGGTTTGAATCAGTGTCTGCTGTGGACCCAGATATCTACCATTTTAATAAGCATGATTCAGTGTCTGTTGTGGATCCAGATTTCTACCATCTTAATAAGCAATCCCTCCAAATGTGATGCAGTCATGCATGGCCCATTCGGGGAAATGGTCTGATGGGGATTGCTTCCATTTCAGTCCTGGTCATTTAAAGGGACCCCTACAGGGTTCAGTCATCTGGGGAGTCTATGAATGCCAGTGTTTCACAGTGTGCTGCTCTTTGCTGCGACCTGCTCAACAGGATGTGTTCCTACAAGGCATCACAGACCAGCTGCTGGTCACACAGATGGGAAGAGAAAAGGAAATGACTGACCTGGTGAGTCCCACATGATCTTGTCACTCTACTGTACTGAATATAAGGATGGAGTAGTCTGTCTGCATCCAGTCAAGTCAAAGATGTGCAGTGACATCTTCCTCTTCTTTGTTCATTTCACAGACCCTTTATACACAGCCATGTACACATCACACACACACACACACACACACACACACACACACACACACACACACACACTCACATTGGTGGCAATGATGACTCACATACTGGAAACAAGGGCTCATGTCAGCTTCTTGTCAACATTCTGCGTGTTCTCTCTGCAGGTCTGCTGTTCTTCTCATAGAAGAGACCTGACATTGATAGACAGAGGACACAAAGTATCACTGACAAGAAGCATTTGCTTTTGGCTTTCTTCCCAGGGGTGGTCAGATAATCCAGAATTCTAGACAGATAACAAATGAAGAGCAGGTCCACTTGAATGTACTCCCACGGGCATGTTATGGGATAATTTAAGCATCACAGTATATAATGATGACAAAGGAGTACTCCTTTAAGAAATGGGTGTTTCTGAGTAGACACAAACGCATGAGTAAATCCATTAATAAACAAAAGATAAAAGGGAAACTTCACTCAAAGACAAGCAATGCTTGTATACTAGTAACTGCACAGGGAAGTAGGTATCAGAGCAACACTTAGCAGGCGTCATGGTTATAATAAACATGGAAAGAACCATACATAAAACACCCCCTCTGTACAAGTCCACAGCAACACTGCTAAAATCTGCATGACTGGATGGGAAAACAAGAGGGAAAACACACGAGTACTAACCTTTTCCTTTTTGTGTTGGGGAAAATAATATTAGATATTTTGAAAATAATTACCTAAGTATTCTTCATAATACAAACCTTTCTGGAGTTACACATACATACCTAACTCTTCACATGTATCCCCTTCTTTCTCTCCACCGTGATCTCAGCACCTCCCTGATGGAGCTAGCTGGGAGGTAAAGGACTATCTCTATGATTCCAAAGATGCCATTGGGGCAAACCTTTGACCTGTGGCTGCCTTAGAAATTTTCCCCCAAACTGGGTGTTGGACATTTGTTTCTGTTCTCATAATTCACTTGCAACTTCAAAGTACTGAATTTTAAACACAGCAAATATATGTTAGCATCAAAGACATTTTCATCATAGAGAATGTAATTAAATATTTTAACCTAAAAGATTCATCAATAACTCTGTCTAAATTTAACACAGACAGCTGACCACAGTGAAATGAATGTGTGGAAGCTGTAATTTAAAATCCCTGTCACTGGAGATAGCATCAGGAAATATGAAATAATTAGGAAAACTCTGCCCACTTCTCTGTAGTGCCTAGACACTGAATGGGACAACTCATTGCTGAGAGTAAAGATGTATAGATTCATCGACTGTGGCGATATTTTGTTTCTTCCATGACAATAAAGCTTGCCTGAGAATCAGTGTGTGCAGATAGCCACTAGTTAGCCACAGAAGACAGGCAGTGTTGTCACTCACCTTTCCCAACACTTAAGAAACAGAACTCTGTGAGTTCAAGGCCATCCTGGGCTACATTAGATTGATCCAGTCTAAAAGAGAAACAGAGTCAGGCAGTGGTGACTCACATCTTTCATCAAAGTGCTTTGGTGTCACACACCTTTAATCCCAGCACGAGGGAGATGGAGAATGAAAGGAATGTGGCTGGGAAAAGAGAGGAATATAAGGTGGGAGGAGATAGGAGATCCAGGCAGTCAGTCTGAGGTCTTGTAGAGACAGGATGCTCCATTTGGTCTGAGGATTTTGTCGAGGAAAGAACTAGTGTCTGGCTGCTCTGCTGTTCTGATCTTATAGCTCCAACCACTTAATATCTGACTCCAGATTTTATTATTAAGACCAATTAGAACTCACGCTACAATCACCTTCATGCAATGGAAGATACAGGTGTCTGTTCTCCTCATACAGTCCTATAGATCCAGTGCAATACCAACAGAACTCTAACAGACTTTTCATAAACTAATGGGCTTAATCTGAAACTCACAGTGAATATGAAAAACCCCAGCTTGAAACAACCTTATAAAGGAACAAACTTGGAGGATGAACACATGATTTCCAGACTCCTTATAAACATAGAGAAATGTAGACAGTGTGCCTGATTGGAAATGACAATAAGACAGAAAAGAATATGAAGGGGACAGAAGAGTCACACATGTGTAGGGGACACCTTTAGCAAAGACACAAAGACACTTCAGTGAACAAAACATATGCTCTTCACGAGGTTTTCTGGGACTCTTGGTGGTGGTAGGGAGGTACAGCCCAGCACAGTGACCAGCAGCCTGAGGATAACCCTGTCCCTTTGATGACCTTGACCCTGGTAAAGATGAATCTAGGATGCAGTAAAGAATTTCAGAAACAGCCAGGATGAAGCAAAGGTTGTGAGCTTATTAATCCTGTGGATAGAAGCTCACACAGAATAAGGATGGCTCCTGCATGATGGCCTGAGAGTGGACTGGAGAGAGACTTGAGATTAGGTGTCATTGCAAAGGGTATGTGAGGTGGGCAGGGAGGGAGGTACAGTGGGAGAGGGAGAAATGGGAGGATTTTTATGGCTCTAAAGTTACATTGCTGAAAGAATGTAATTCAAAAAATTTCAAGATTAAATTACATTAAAGCCTATATACAGGTTTTTAAATTAACTATAAGAATATTTTTACTCTTTAAATGGGTTCTATTTTTCCATTAGGAAAAAATATTCAATAGCTTATTAAAAAGTAAAAAATGAAAATAAAAAGCAATGCTTTTAAATGTGCTTATTCCTTTTAAAATTTCTTTCAGTAAATTAAATTGTAAGGTGATTATGTGACTTAGGCGAGAGAATGTAGTGCTATCATCATCCATCTCAAGGCTATAAGTACTCTGCCCCTAAGTAAGCATAACTGTGTTTTTTATTTTCTGCTTTTGAATGCTTTTCCACAGGGAAGTCTGTGCACCACGTGAGTACCTAAAGCCCACAGAGGGTACCAGACTTTATGAGATCTCTCGGAACTGGAGTTACAGACAGTTGCGAACCATCGGGTAGGTGTTGGGTATCAACCCTGAATCCTCTGGAAGACATCCAGTGATATAAAAGAATGAACCCTATCTTCAGACTCTAGTTTATTTGTTGTTATTTTTAAACATTATTTGGGATGTCTTTATGAATAACTGCATCATATCTGCAGGTAATTTTGGCTCTATCAGTTGAGTTGAGGTTTCTTGAATGTCAAAAAAAAAATGTAAAAATGATTACAGGGTGAGGGGCTGTGTGTTCCCTCTCATATCCCCTTCAATGCCCTGTCTTTCTGTCTTATTTTGGGACAAACAGACCTCCCCATGCACAAATATGAATATAGACAAACGTATATCGCAGGATACAAAAGTCAATCTAGAGTGAACAAATGATCTACACAGGACTAGGGAGACATCTCAGAAGTTAAGAGTGCCTTTTGCTATTGCAGAGGACCTGACTTCAGTTTCCAGCACCCAGTTCCAGTCTCTGAGCAACAGTGACAGGAACCCCAATCTTCACCCTTCTTTAGTGAAGAAGGGTTAATATTTTAAATTAAAATGAGTTTTGTGTCCCAAAGATTAAAACAATTGTTTAGTCTGCACCTTAGCTCCAAAGCAAACCAGAATTCAAGCTGCAGAAGCAGTTTAGCATTTGTGCTCCAGGGCAGGTGGGATTTCTGAGTGAGGTGAGCTGGATTCAGCTATCTGGAGCATATCCTGGCACTTATCTCAGCCGGGTCTCCCTGACTCTCTAGAGGCAGTATGACACCCTGCAGAGTGGAGCAGCAGGTTCTGTTATCAGGCACTCCTCTCCTTGGGGGCAGGAAAGGCCAGACCAAGGACCTCTCCTCAGTTGCCTCTGGAAGACCTCTGTGGGGCGTCTGCAGCCTCAACATCATCCAGGTCCAGATTTTATTTTCTTTCTGTGAAAAAAGCATAAACATATCATCGACCCCAAATATATATAGGTCGGGTTTTTTCATAATGCATTGTAAGGGCTTTTTCCACCTTGCCCTAGCAAAGGTCAGCTTGGTGTTATCATGTCAGATCCGTTTGCATCAGGATCTGCTTACAACTTTTATGATTTGCTTTGAAGGACCCTTGTTATGCTCCACAATTTTTTTTATTAGCCCTATATGCAGTTCTTCCATTGGAAGAGCCATTTGTAAAATTTAGCATAAAAGGCACGCCCGCAAGGGACCCAAGGAGCTAGTGGCAGCGGGGGAGGCCATGTGGACCAAGGCGCTGAGGGCAGCAGGCCTTGGCCCCCCAGGCCCCCCCCCCTGCCGCCGCCATGGGCATCAGCAATATGCGCCCAGGAACCCGCCTGCGGGGAGGATCAAGGCAGAGGGTTCAAAGGCTGGGGAAGTTCTTGGAAGGCGGCCACTTGGGAGATCTGTTCCTTCTCGAGAGTCTAATCCAGCACTGCCCTTGGGAAGGAGCTCCCCAAGGAACCCCCACAACCTCATGCTGGAGGCAAGAGTGGACATGCTCGGCTCCAGTATGATCATCAATGGCCCGGCTGCAGACCTCGGTGCTAAAGAGGCCAGCAGGCCCTCGAAGAAGCAGCCTGGCAGCGTCCAGAAGCCTGGGCCATCCACCCGAGACCGAGCCCCTCAGCATAAAGGACAAGATATCCAAGTGGGAAGGCAAGAAGGAGCCACCTACTCCTGAGCCTGCCAGGCCAACGGAGGGCCAAGAGAACTACTTGCCACCCTGCGGGGTAGAGCGGAGAGGCAGCGAGGTCACCAGAACAAAGAATGGGTTGAGGCTTGAAACAGAGAGCTTGGAAAATGACAGCAGAAGGACAGCAAAGACCACGTGTCAGGACACAGACCGGTGGCCAGGCCTGAGGCAGAGTGATGGGCAGCCGGAGCCCAGCCAGCGCCGAGGTGTCGAGCTGAAGCCCAGTGACTTGCGTTTTCAGAGTGACCACCTCTCCGCGCTCAAACAGGTCAGGAGACTGGAGAAGGCCTTGAAAGATGGCTCTGCTGGTTTGAACCCCCAGTTGCTGGGGACTTGTTATTCCCCACACTGTCTGCCTGACAAAGCAGAAGAGGACCAGCACATTCCCGAGAGTCCTGGAAGTGGGGGTGCTTTTGCAGCTGGCCGCAGGGCCCACCCCTTGGAGGACAAGGAGCCAGGGGCTGAGGCTTCAGAGAAGTGTAAAGGCCAGGAGAGTGTATACCCGGGCTCCAGGCAGTGTCCCCGAAGCCTTTCATCAACCCCCTTCCCAAGCCCCGCAGAACGTTCAAACATGCAGGAGAAGGGGACAAGGACAGCAGTCCTGGGAGCTCAGGCATTGGCTTCAGGAAAGAGAAGAGAAACCTGCCTCCCCTGCCCACTTTACCTCCCCCTCCCCCACCGCTACCCTCCTCCCCGCCTCCTACTTCCGTGAATAGAAGACTGTGGACTGGGAAGCAGAGACCCAGTGCTGACCACAGGAAGTCCTATGAGTTTGAAGACCTACTGCAGTCCTCCTCTGAGAGCAGCAGGGTGGACTGGTACGCACAGACCAAGCTGGGACTCACATGCACTTTATCGGAGAACGTCTACGAAGACATTCTAGATCCACCTATGAAGGAAAATCCGTATGAGGACATCGAGCTACATGGCCGCTGCCTGGGCAAGAAGTGTGTCTTGACTTTCCCTGGATCTCCCACCTCTTCCATCCCGGACACTTTCACCAAGCAATCCTTGTCCAAGTCTGCATTTTTCAGGCAAAATTCAGAGAGAAGAAACTTCAAACTGCTGGACACCCAGAAGCTGAGTCGGGAGGGAGCTGGGTCCCCAGTGAGAGCCAGCCCCCCCCTAAACAGCTAGCAACCCGGATGACACTTTCTTTAACCTCGGAGACCTACAGAATGGCAGGAAGAAGAAAAAGATCCCCAGGCTGGTATTGCGGATCAATGCCTTTTATGAGGCCCGGAGAGGAAAGAAACGGGTGAAGAGGCTATCCCAGTCCACGGAGAGCAACTCAGGAAAAGTGACAGACAAGAACAGCGAGTCTGACAGCGACACCGAGGAGAAGCTGAAAGCCCACAGCCAGCGCCTGGTCAATGTGAAGTCCCGCCTGAAGCAGGCCCCTCGCTACTCCACGCTTGACCGGGATCTCAGCGAGTACCAGTAGAGGCAACTCTTCGAGTACTTTGTGGTCGTGTCTTTGCACAAGAAGCAGGCAGGGGCTGCCTATGTGCCAGAACTCACCCAGCAGTTTCCTCTGAAGTTAGAAAAGTCATTCAAGTTCATAAGGGAGGCTGAGGACCAGCTGAAGGCAATGCCCCAGTTCTGCTTTCCTGACGCCAAGGACTGGGCTTCCATCCAGGAGTTTACCAGTGAAACATTCTCATTTGTCTTAACTGGAGAAGACGGGAGCAGAAGGTTCGGTTATTGCCAAAGATTGCTGCCTGGAGGCAAAGGGAAGAGGCTTCCTGAAGTTTATTGCATTGTGAGCCATCTGGGATGTTTCAGCCTCTTTTCAAAGTTCTTGGATGAGGTGGAAAAGAGAAGAGGCATTTCCCCTGCTCTGGTGCAGCCCCTCATGAGGAGCATCATGGAAGCCCCTTTCCCAGTCCTGGGCAAAATCATCGTTGTCAAGAACTTCCTGCCAAGCTCGGGGACTGTTGTGATTGAGCTGTGTTGGCCCCTGGACTCCCGGCTGGAGCACGTGGATTTTGAGTCTCTGTTCTCCTCCCTCAGCGTCTGGCACCTCATCAGTGATTTTGCCTCCCTGCTCCTGGAAAGGAGGGTCATCTTCATTGCGGACAAACTCAGCACGCTGTCCAAGTGCTGCCATGCCGTGGTGGCGCTCATCTACCCCTTCAGCTGGCAGCACACCTACATCCCAGTGCTGCCACCCGCCACGATTGACATAGTGTGCTCACCCACGCCCTTCCTCATCGGGCTGCTCTCCAGCTCACTGCCGCTGCTCAGGGAGCTGCCACTGGAAGAGGTCCTTGTGGTCGATCTCATCAATGATCGGTTCCTCAGACAGATGGAGGACGAGGATTCCATTCTGCCCCGGAAGCTTCAGGTAGCCCTGGAACACATTCTGGAGCAGAGGAATGACCTGGCCTGTGACTAGGATGGAGGCCCACTGGACTGCGTGCATGGCCCTGAGTTCAGCCCCTTGAATGCGGTGGCGTCTGAAGCCTTTGTCCGATTCTTCGTGGAGATTGTGGGCCACTATTCCTCGTTCCTGACCTCGGACGAGGAGAGGAGCCTGCAGCGAGAGGCCTTCAGAAAAGCTGTCTCCTCCAAGAGCCTGCGCCGCTTCCTGCAGGTCTTCATGGAGACCCAGACTTTCCGTGGCTTCATCCAGGAGCGGGAACTACGCAGGCAGGATGCCAAAGGTCTGTTTGAGGTCCGAGCCCAGGAATACCTCGAAACCTTGCCCAGCGGAGAACACAGCGGAGTCAATAAGTTCCTAAAGGGTCTGGGCAATAAAATGAAGTTTCTCCACAAGTAATAACCCTCATCTTGGTTCAAGGGAAGACCTCCTCCACTGGGACCACACATTTCCAACAGAGGTCTGAGAGGCTGTGGGCTGAAGGCAGTCCCTAGCCCCAGCTCCTCCTAGAACGGGGCCTGCGAGCTGGGCACGTGGCAGGTGCTCAGGACAGCCCTGGAAGGGACCTGCCAACATGCAGCTGTTGTTACTGTGGTCGGTTCTGGGATCTTTATATCTAGGTATTAAAAGAGATTAAAAGAGAAGGAGAAGAAAGGCGTTTGGGTCTTCATTCTGTCTTGCCAGGGCTAAGAAAACTCCCTCCTGCCCTACCTCATCTCTTCTGGGTCAGCTGTTGACAGCTGTGGAGCCAGGAGGAGGGAGGAGATAGGTAGAGTGGCTGCCACCACCCATCCAGGTTCTTGTGGACTGCTCTATGACGCCACCTGGTGGCAGAGACCGTGAGCTTCGCTGTTCTTGACTGGGGTTTTTGCCCCTTAGAAGGAAGTCCCGTAGACCTGTTCTTGCCCTAATACCACACATAAAAAGAGGAAAACTTGTTAATTGTTAATAAAATATTCTTAGGGTCCTGAAATGGATATCTCCTGTGGCCTAACCGTGACACTTAGACCTCTGCTGTGAACCTATTCCTCATAGCTGACAGACCTTTCAGGCTTCTGTAGTTGGTTCTCTTATTGAGAGGGAAGAGCTGGACAAGGTCACAGTCAGATGACCTGTGTGGGACAGTGGGAGTCTGTGAGTCCTGTGTGTACACAGGAAGGGTCTCAGGCTGGCCTCGGACTACCACCCCAATACTGTGGACACCCAATGGATTGTATGAGAAAGTAACTTCTAGCCCACATGGCCTGGAGTGGGGCAGGAGTAGTGGGAGGGGGTGTGGCTGAGGCGTTGGGGGAAGCCTGAGTGAGAATGTGAGCATGGGGGCTCACACAAGCGCCTCGGTTTAGTTAACTTTCATGATAGCAATGCTCTGTGTATTTTTATACTGCCCCTAAGTGATCACTTTTAGGATTTTGGAATATACAGTCTTTTCTAACTTATTTTCTATTATACTGTTTTACTTAAGAACTCCAAGTGAATGAATAAACAAATATCTTTATCAACATTCCTAGTGAGTGTATAATATTCTATAATATTATGAATGTTTTTGTATTTGATATAAGCATAAAAACAAAAATAAATTTGGGGAAATGTGCTAAAAATTAGCATAAAATCCTTTAAGGGATTTTTTGCTATAACATTAGCAAAATACAGTTGTGTGAATTGTAGCAATGATCTGGGAAAAGATTATTGTTTTTGCCTTTGAATTGAGCAAAGACAATTGTCCAGGAATCAGTCTTAAAATTATCAATGAATCTATTGTTTAGTATAAGAAACACTGATCATAGTCAATATTCTGTCAAACAATTTTTCAGCTTTTATCCTGTCCTTTTGTATCAGACAGGCTACTGTTTTAAATTAAGAGTTTAATATCTTAACTGGCAAAACTGGGAAGGTTTAGCCACAAACAGCATTTTTTTATAAAACTGTTGTAGAATAAGTTTGTACTTAATATACACACTTGCCATAGCTGAATTATAATTAATATACTGTATTTGTTGATTATTGCATACTTTACCTTTTGATTTATATTTTACCTGCTTGAGTATCTGTTAGGCAGCTTGCTTAAGCTTTCTATTGAAAACTGTTTTTTTTGTAAGAATTTTATCTATTGGCTCAAGGTCCCTCATAAGACTATTATAACTAGAGCTTTAACCATTGGACATCCAACCAAAAGTTTGCAAGCTATCCTCCTCTTAAGTTTTAAGTCTGCCTTACAGATAGGAAAATGGAAAAAGGAAGCATTTTAACTAATAATGCTGGCCTCATTAGACACCAACATGTAGAAGAATGAAAATAGATCCATATTCATCTCCATGTACAAAACTTAAGTTTAAATGAGCCAAAGGCCTCAGCATATAAAAATTATGTTGAACCTCACAGAGAAAAAATTTTTTGAAGTACACTTTGCCACATCTCAAACACAGCCTCAGTGGCACAAACATTGTGAGAAACCATAAACTAGATCTCTTGAATTGAGAAACTTTTGTATAACAAGGCTATAGAGTGGGAAAAGATCTTTACTTACCATAAATCCCTTTCAAAAATATATGAAGAACTCAGGAAATTAGTTATTAAAAATTAATCCAATAAGAATATTTGTTACAGACCTAATCTGAAAACTCTCAGACGAACTTAAAAATGAGAGACACCTAAAAAATGTTTAAGCAGAACATCCTTTAGCCCTCAGAGAAATGCAAACCAAAACTCTGAGATTTTATTTTATCCTTGCAAAAATGACCAAGATTAAAAATTACTGCTAACAATTTATGCTTAAGAAAATGTGGGTAGGGAAAAAACTCCATTGCTGGAAGTGCAAACTGACAGTCACCTTTGGATCACACATAGTATTGAAAAACCTGGATAAACCAGACTCCCTCATCAGGAAGAGAAGGATCAAAAATCCAGGACTAGCCTGTTCAGCGACCCTGTACCAGGAACTGTCTGAAGACAAAGCCAGACCTTTACCTCGAAAAACGGGTTTTCCAGCTGCAATTATCACAGTACTGTTTTAGGAACTAGCGGATTATGACCCTGGGAGTGGTCCCAAGGCAGGCAGCTGTCCTCCTGCGACCACCACTGTATTTTTGGAATTTATGACCCTCCTGGACCACTGGGCTGTGGCCCCTTTTCAAAAATTTTCTCTTTAGGTCACTAGAGGCTGAACTCCTCCCCCCACCCCCCCAACTAAAGCCACGTGCACTACCTCAGCAAGGATGGCCTCCAGCGAGCCATGGGGAGACCTGAGTGAGAGTCTCCCCAGCACTGGGGGACCCCCATTATGTCTATTTTTTTAAAATTAGGCAAATATTTACCTCAAAACTTAGCAATAACCCTTTTGGGCCTAAATACAAAGTTGTTTAACCATAAGACCATGGGCTCAGACTTGCTTACAGCAGAGTTACTTATCATAGCCAGAATCTGAAAATAACCCAAATGTACCTCTTTTACACCTAGGATAAATGAGACATCATCCTTTTAAGTAACCATGAACACCACAAAATATCTTGGAATAACTTTAAGCAAGCAGGACAGAAGTTTGAGTCCCGTAATCTCTGCGTGTGAAGGCAGAAATGTTTTTTATTTTTAACCATTATCACTTGGTAGAGTATAACTCCTGCCCTTGATAAATTTAGTGAGAGGCTGGAGTCTCAGCAGTTTAGCCTGGAGCAACACCTGTCAGCAGGAAAGAACCTCAAGCTGAAACAATACGACTCCCACCCAAGAGCAGGCCGTACAAATGGAAAAACTTGTATGAGAATTTTAAATCTTGAGAGATCCCCTACTTTCTTGGGAAAGCAGAAGAAACACAGCAAAAATGACAATTTTACTGAAAGCAATCTACAGATTCAGTGTAAATGTCCATTAAAAATTATAGCAACGGGCTGGAGAGATGGCTCAGTGGTTAAGAGCACCGGCTGCTCTCCCAGAGGTCATGAGTTCAATTCCCAGCAACCACATGGTGGCTCACAACCATCTGTAATGAGATCTGGTGCCCTCTTCTAGTGTGTGGGCATACATGGAGGCAGAATGTTGTATACACAATAAATAAATAAATTAAAAAAAATTATAGCAACATTTTTCACAGAACTCACATACAGATTTTAATGTAAATGTTCATTAAAATTATAGCAAAACTTTTCACGGAACTCGAAAGAACAAACCTCAACTTTATGAGAAAGAAATGAAAACTCAGGATAGCCTAAACAATTTTAAAAATTTTCTGAATGTATTACAATCTTTGATTTTAAAACTTTTTTACAGAAACACAGTACTGAAATTAATCTACCTTAGATATAAACTTAGACACCTACAAACTAAAGATTTTTGACCAAGAAGCAAGATTTTTAAAAATGGAAAAGAAGCATATTTACTGTCCTAAATGAAGCTGCAGCTTTTTGAGTCTAGATTCCTTTATAGCAAACCTGCCTGTCAGCTTTTGCTCCATATGGCAGGGGGTTAAAGACATAGGCTCTCTAGCCCTAGCAGCCAGCCTGCTTGGCAGGCATAGCTGTGTGGATTGTACCCTAACTTCTCGCATCTCGAGGGACTCCCTTTTGAGTCCGCAAGCAAACACATAAAGCAAACACATAAATCTCTCTTTTTGACTCTTACTCCTCTCTCCCTGATTGATTGATTTTTTTTTTTTTTGAGACAGGGTTTCTCTCTGGCTTTGGAGCCTGTCCTGGAACTCGCTCTGTAGACCAGGCTGGTCTCGAACTCACAGAGATCCGCCTGCCTCTGCCTCCCGAGTGCTGGGATTAAAGGCGTGCGCCAATTCCTGTATGAATTTCTCTTCCTTTGAAAGTCCCATATCTTTTTGGACGACAGTGATCCTGCGCCTACCTCATTCTGCAGATGTGTCTGAGTTCTACAGCCATAGAATCTTCTTTTTTCTTCTTGTTGTTGTCCCGGGACCGCGCATCTTCATCCAATAGTTGGCCATGCTCCGAGTCACTGGTTCGGGCGCCACTGTAAACCGCTTTGGGTGGGTTACTCAGTCTAGGGTCTGTAACCCACCTGGCAGTTCAGCTATTCCAGGGTCCCGGAGAGGCACTATCTGGAAGATATGGGGGGAAAGAGGAAGAAGGCTAGGTAGATTTGTCGAAGCCTGTGCTTATTAGAGACAGGTTTACAGTTTATATAGGGTAAGGAATTGGGGGGGGGGGGCACAGGGGCCTGGACTCTTGTCGCATGGTTCACGTAGTTCACGTTGGTCACTAGGCCAGGAGGTTACATAGGTCACATAGGCGGGGAACTCACAACTAGGAGTTGACACACCTAGTTCTCTAGATAGTTTGGAATGTGGGGCGGGTTCCACTAACAGATAGCTCTCCATTAACAGCCAATTTGGGTATGGGGTAGGCTCTGTCAATAGAACGATTCCTAACACAATTAGGGGTGTGGGGTTCTCTGCAGACTCCCCAGGGTGATGGTTCCTGTAATGACTTCAGGAGGAAACAGCTCCTGACACCCTATCTTCAGACTCTAGTTTATTTGTTGTTATTTTTAAACATTATTTGGGATGTCTTTAGGAATAGTTGCATCATATCTGCAGGTAATTTTGGCTCTATCAGTTGGCTTGAGGTTTCTTGAATGTCAGAAAAATGTAAAAATGATTACAGGGTGAGGGGCTGTGTGTTCCCTCTCATATCCCCTTCAATGCCCTGTCTTTCTGTCTTATTTTGGGACAAGCAGACCTCCCTATGCACAAATATAAATATAGACAAACGTATATCGCAGGATACAAAAGTCAATCGAGAATGAACAAATGATCTACACAGGACTAGAGAGACATCTCAGAAGTTAAGAGTGCCTTTTGCTATTGCAGAGGACCTGACTTCAGTTTCCAGCACCCATATGATGGGTGACAGATGTCTGTAACTCCAGATCCAGGGGAACTGACAGTCTCTTCTGGTCTCAGTGGGCATCTGCACTCAAACGTGTATTTGGCACACACAGACATACAGGCAGACCCTCAGTAAATAGGGAAAATAAACCTAAAAGAAGTCCAAATTACAACCTAAACATGAATCTTGTAGCAGAATACAATTGGATGTTCAGGTTCATGAATTACAAACAAACTTCTTAGATACGGCAAACCCCCATTCATTAAATGAAGAACAGGAGTGTTAAGAATTCCATAAAGTGAGAAAATGTCTATTCTTCCAAATATATGATAGAAACATATTTTTCTTACCTGGGAAAATGAATGTGGGAAATTGTATATCAGATGACAGTCTTCCTGTATCCAGAATACAGAAAGCTTCTAAAGGAGACACTAAGAAAATAAACAATTCAGGAAATAAAACTTGACCAGAAGGGTGAGTAGATGCTCCACTAAGAGAAACATACAGCAGCAACATGCTTAACACTTAGGGAAGAGAGACAGGTGATTCTGATGGGACTCTCGACACCCATATAAAATACTCAGAAATAAAGACTTGTCATACAAAGACCTGGCAAGTTTGTGGAGGATGACTCTCAAATACCCACTGCTGGTGGCCATGGAAAACAGGATGATAACTTGGAAAAATCTTTTTCTGTTTCTTCATATGTTAATTGTCATCTGGCCATCACAACCCAAATATATAACCTGGAGAAAGAGGACATATTTTCTTTTAAAGACTTATTTATTTCAGTTCACAACAGCTTTATATACAAGACACTGAAATTGAAAACAACCTCAGCAACAGGCAACAGGCAAAGACTCATTTCCCAAAACCAGCACGGCAGTTTTCAACTGTTAACTCCAGTGCCAAGGGATTCAATGTCCACTCTTGGCTTCCATGAGCAACAGGCATGCATGAGCTCTTCATACCTATATGTAGGCAAGCATATATACACATGAAATAAACTAAATTATAAAACTTGCCGTGTAGCTATACATTGCTACACTATTTCATATTAAGAATGAACAATTATCATGGGCAACAAAAGAGATAAATTTAAACATATATTCAAGATGAATGAAGGCCAGATGTCTCTAAACTCTGGTTTTATCCTAATACATTCCAGCATATATAAATTTGTCTATAATATCAGATTGTTGTATTTTTCTGCAGACAGAGTTGGGCAGTGGTTGGGTATGAGAACCTAAGTAACATAAAGAAACTTTATGGATTGGTAAATAATAATGAAACTTATACCTACCTGAGTATAAGAAGATGTCTATTGTCATTATGGGGAAAAGTGGAAAAATACAAATTACGTTTTATATTTGGTGACTTGGACTTCAGAGATTGCCCCATGGTTAACAGGACTTGCTGCTCTTACAGAAGACCTGGGCTGGGTTCTCAGCACTCACTTGCTGGCCCACAATGGACTGCATATCTGTTTCTAGGGGAAACAACACCCCTTTCTGTCCAAAGCAGCACACCCTGATCCTGAAACCAGAGCAAAAGAAACATACACTGACCCTGAGACTAGAATCAATTCACTGGCCCTGAAACCAGAGCCCAACGTTTTAAAAAGGCCAGTGAAATAAACACACTTTGCCCCTGAAACCAAAGCCACAGAAACACACTCTTCCACTTACCAAATCAGCGAAACAAACTAACCAATCTCTCAGCATAAAAGGAACCAATCCCAGAGCAGGAAAACAAGCTAATCACTGAGCATGAAACCACCCTGTACCTGTTCAGTTGGGAGCTGCCTTTCCCACTCTTGCAGGGTCAGCCACCTCCTGGACTCTTCCCTCCCAGTGAATCTCTTAAATGAGGCTTGGGTGAGACCTTCTTTGCCTAAGAAGAACAGAGAAGCAATGACTTCAACTGGAGCAAGGCAGAGGTGAGGGGAGCAGAACTGGAAAAGCTTCTCCTAGCAGAGCAGAGTTGTTACTCTTCTGAGGATCTAAGGAGAGCTGTAACAACCTGGCTGGGGTAACCCTCCCCTACCAGAGCAGAGCTGTTAATTTGGGGCAAACTTTCCCTGAAGCAGGGCTGTGAGCTCCTAAGCTTAAGGTGAATTTGTGATATTCATTGATGCCATCTTAAAAGGATTCCTCTAGCCAATACTGGGACAAATGGAGCATGGAAATAGAGAACGGCAATAGAGAGGAAAACAGTTTAGGAAAATGGGTGTTGAGCCATACTGATAAAAGTCAGCACATGAGTAAAGAACTATGGAGATAAGTAAGCAGTGTACTACACACCAGGTCATCATTGAAGAGGACCAGGAGAATTATAACACATAACCTATCACAGCAGTAAGTGATTAACTAACTTTCACAACATATAACCAGGGACATATCTGCACAAGCATGAGTATATACACAACACACACTAACAATTGTCAATGTAAACACACAGCTCTCACCTCGAAGGAAGAAGAGAGTTCATTCTGGAGTCAAATATATGTGAGTAAACATGAGTGAGACAGGTTTATGTTAGTACAAATTGCATGTCACAATGTGGAAACAGTTTCATGAAGTTTTTATAATAACAGAATGAAGAAACTGTAGACTCTCCTTCAGTGCATTGGAGATAATATTAAGTAGACTATTATGGTAAAGCAGAGAAACCTCAGCTACTAGCTGCTATGTGATGACACACAGTACTTTGACTCGCAGAAACTTAGAGCTTTGTTAAGGAGACATATTCTGATATTTTAAATGTCAGGTCCAACGTCATCTGTTAGTGACAAGGTATTAGGTAAGTCCAACACAGGGGGCCCAAGGATTGGCTACTCATGGGCTCAAGAGAACACAAAGGAAATTGTAATTAGGCCCTGGGACTGCGACTTCCACCATCTCCATATCACTGCAGGTCTAAGAGTCAATCAATCAGGCTTTGCAGACCAGCCTCTGCCAAGGAATTCCTGTACAAACACACACACACACACACACACACACACACACACACACACACACACACACACACGACACACACACACGACACACACACACGACACCTCTCATTCTCACTCTCCTAGCTCCCTGGTGTTTACTGAGAGCTCAAGGGGTACAATCACGTTACAACAGATTCGTCTCTGACCACACACAGGATGGTGAGAGCTCCTAAATTATGTGGTCTGAATGAGATTCCTGTGACGATGGCCATGGACTTGTCTCTGGGACATTTCTCTCATTTGTTTCAGACTGTCAATAATAACCTGTAAATGCCGATAAGAAAATAGCGACAAACTGCATTACACATCAAATAACGTTTTCATCATGGGATAATCCATGCTTTCAACAAAATATATCCTTTGTAAGTTTCATTGACACTTGTTTCCTGACAGTTTACAGAAGATTTAATAATTTGTTCACAGAAAAAACAATACGTATCTATTTGTTTAAAAAATAATAGCAGTTATAGATGAATCAAAAAGTACAAATATTTGTGCATTATCGCGACAGATAGATCCATAGTGCTGATAGGCCGAGAGATTTCCAAACATTGCTGAATTGGAGACAACCTGTCTTAATGAAGGACAACTATGTTCACGGCTCAAACAATACATTATTAGTAAGATGTCTGTTGATTCAAAACTGAGCTACAGATTCGATGCACTAACAATAAAATAGCACTTACTCTTTTTAAAAATTCTCGAAAAACCAAAAAAAAAAAAAATTGAGTGGAAGCCGGGCGGTGGTGGCGCAAGCCTTTAATCCCAGCACTCGGGAGGCAGAGGCAGGCGGATCTCTGTGAGTTCGAGACCAGCCTGGTCTACAAGAGCTAGTTCCAGGACAGGCTCCAAAACCACAGAGAAACCCTGTCTCGAAAAACCAAAAAAATATAAATAAATAAATGAATAAATATAAAAATTGAGTGGATAATTCTAAACATTGTAGACTAAATATATAGCTTGTGTAAACCTTAGAAACAGACAAATGTTAGAGAACAGCATTGCCTGATAGGAGACCTCTGTTTGAACCTACAGTAATTGGACCAGCATGCTTTTGAATCAAAGTTGGCAAGAAAAAGTCCAAAACCAACATTCCACGCTCACATCCACACATTTACAGACCACTGCCTATATCGAGTCAACATTTTTCCTGTGTCTGATGCTGGCATCAAGCTTGTGTGTAGTGCGTGTAGTGTGTGCTGAGAAGAACTGACCATACTCCTGCTGCAGCCTCCCAGGCACTGGGATTACTGGCATATGTACCATGATTGGATAATTGGAGAACTGATGTTTCACAAATAAACAAGGCAATTTGATGCATAAAGATGGCCTTTCAGGAAGCAATACTGAGGCAAGTGTATATCCAAACCCACAAATATAAACTAGGACCTACATCGTATCATATGTGAAGACCATTCAAAATAAATTACAGATGTAAAAATATAAAAATCAGCCTATAAATGTCAAACAGAACACAAGAAGAAAATCCCTGTCACTGAGTGCCAGGCAAAGATTTCGCAGACAAGACACCGAATAAAAACCGTAATTGAAGAACTAGAGAAGGTGGGATCTTACAATTTAAAATCTCCTGCTCTTCCAAAGACATGGATGAGAATTGAGATGATAAGTCTGAGGCTAGGAGAAAAGTTAGAAATACATATATCTGATAAAACATTTCTAACATTTCTATGAAACATACGGAAAACCTCAAATGTCAGCGAGCAATCTCACGCACAGAGTGGGAAGTCGGGATCACAGAGTGCTCATTTGGCCTCATTTCCCTCCTGCTCACTCTCCGACAACTCCCCTCCTGGACAATGGCTCCAGCACAGCCCTGTACAGAACAGCACAGGAGGAGGCAGAATGGTCCCAAGTCTCTCTCCTTCCGGAGAAACACAGGCTGCAAGCCCCGAGGTAGGAGTGGTCCTACTTGGGTCTGGAATCCCCGCATCTGCCTCCCAACCCTCAGAAAGATTCTGGTGCTCCCCTCCGGGAATCCATAAGCTCAACTCAGTCCAAACACCAGGAACTGAATGCTCCTTTCCAGGACATCGTCCGGTTGCCATTTGAAAAGAGTCGCCATAATGACCCCGGTTTCTATGACAACCGCAATGCTGCCTCCCCCTTAGTAACCAGGAATGGCTCCGCCCAGCCCTCCCTTACTTCCTCTCAAAGGAAGAACTCTTCACCCTTGTTTTCACCCAAGAAAGCATACCCATTAGAGAAACTGTCCCCACTACGAATGCAGAGCTTTTCTTTTTTTTCCGCTCTGTGAACAAAGCATATCCCTAAAAGCCCGACCACATTGTACTCACCAGACCATGGTGGTATCTATGGAAATGTCGTCACAAAGATGAACATTGCTGTCACGGTGACAAATGAGCAATTTTATCCAATAATTAGCTATGCATATATAACCTCATCACGGGACTTTAAATTCTGGGACACCTTGCACAGAAACATCCTGAAAAAAGAAAATCAAAGGTTAAAAGTATTGTTTTGGAGATGCCTGGGCTCGAACCCGGGGCCTCATATATGCGAAACATGTGCTCTACCTCTGAGCTACATCCCCACACCTGGTAACAGTTTCATCAAAGCCCTTGTGAAGTCAGAGGAACCGAGCCAACGTTCAGAGTCTCTGCAAGGGTCTGCATCAGGTCCTTTGAGCATACTGGATTCCAGGTTGAGTTTAGTGCTTTGATAGGATTCTTGGGACATTTGTTGCATGAGAAAACAATCTATTTTCAATCAAAGGAAAAATAATAACAATAAAAATAATAACAACAACAATTATAAGAACAAACCTTATATTCTTTGAAGCATGGTAAGCTAACAATGAATGATACTTTGAAGTACTCAGTCCCATCAATTTTACTTCAACTTTACCTGCAGGTGGTTCAACATGCCAGTATCATGGGGAATTAATAATAATATGTTGCTGATATGCGGTCATGTTTGAGAGTATGAGTAGCTTCCTGAAACCCTCTCTAGCATACCTCCTTTCTCTTTTAAAAGACGCCTTAGTTTCCGGGCTTGAAAGGCAGTTTTTATAATCTTGGTCAGGCTGCTCATTTTGTTTCTTAACGTTGCCAATACTGTCCATCACTCCATTTATGGCAATAACTAAATGTGCGGTAGCTATTGGTTCACAAAACCCTAAGGTGCTGTCACTTTCTGCATGTTTATGTATCTCACCGCATGCTTTGTAAGTTTCAAAAATGAGAGGTTTTCTGAAATATGTCCTCTTTTCATACATCACCTAGTATATGTCTCAATATACAAAATCATTAAATAAATATTTCATGTATGTTCAGATGAGTTAGAAAAGTGAGTATTTTTTAAAAAGAAAACAATCATTTTTTTTTCATTTACATACCATCCAAGTTTCTATTCCCTCTCCTCAGCCCATTCCCTCTTCTTACCCGTCCCCCCAACCTTCATCTACTCCTCAGAGAAGGCAAGGCACATTGCCCAGAGGAATTTATACCTGGGGCTTTAATTTAATTCATTGGTCCATGTTTCTGCTTTTATGCCAATACCAAACTGTTTTTATCACTACAGCGCTATGGTGAAGTTTTAATTCAGGGATGGTGATGCCTCTGGAAGTTCCTTTATTGTACAGGATTGTTTTAACTATTGTAATTTTTTTTCACATGAAGTTGAATATTGTTCTATTAGTCTGTGAGCAATTGTGTTTGGATTTTGATGGGCATTTCTTTGAATCTCTAGAATGTTTTTGGTAAGATTGCCATTTATATTATGTTGGTCCTACCTATGCAAGAGCATCCATGAGCGTGGGAGATCTTTCCATTTTCTGATATCTTCTTCAGATTCTTTCTTTAGAGACTTAAAGTTCTTGTCATATAGGTGTTTCAGTTGCTTAGTTATAGCTACCCCAAGATAATTTATATTTGTGGCTCTTGCAAAAAGGGATGTTTCTCTGAGTTCTTTCTCTTTATTTTATCATTTCTATATAGGAGGGCTACTGATTGTTTTGTGTTGATCTTGTATCCTGCCACATTACTGAAGGTGTTTATCTGCTGTAGGAGTTCTCTGGTAGAGTTATTGTGGTCACTTATATGTACTATCATATCATCTGCAAATAATGAAAGTTTGACTTTTCTTCCTTTCCAATTTGTATCCCTTGATCTCCTTTTGTTGTCTTATTGCTCTAGCTAGGTCAACTAATACTATATTGAAAAGATACGGAGAGAGTGGACATCCTTGTATTCTTCGTAATTTTAGTGGAATCACTTTGAGTTTCTCTCCGTGTAATTTGATGCTGGCTGTTGGCTTGCTGTAAATTGTTTTTATTGTGTTTAGATAGGTTCCTTGTATCCTGATCTCTTCAATACTTGTACTCCAGATGGGACTCAAACTACCTCATATTCCACATATAGCACTTGGGGCATATACCCCAAGGACACTTCAACCTACCAGAAGGTCACTAGCTATTCCATGTTTATTTCCACTCTATTCCCAATAGCCCAAAATTAGAAACAACCTAGATGTCTCACAATAGAATAAGGGATAAAGAAAATGCTGTACACTTATATAATAGAGTATTATTCTTATTTCAGAAAAAAAAGACATCATGATATTTGCAGGTTAAATGATGGAACTAGAAAAAAAAATTCTGAGTGAGGTAACCCAGACTCAGAAAGACAAACATGGTATGTACTCACTTCTAAGTGTATATTAGATGTAAATCAAAGGGTAACCAGGCTGCGATCCAGAGCTCCAGAGAAGCTAGGTAACAAGGAAGCCCCAAGGAGGGATGCATGGATCGCCCTGGGAAGGGGAATTAGATGAAATCCCCTGGGTAAACTGGGGGTGAGGCCGTGGTGAAGGAGAGGCAATGGGGAAGGAGAACATGAGGGAACAGGATGGTCATAGAGAATGGAGTGGGAAAGCAATGTAAGAGGGAACTTGATAGAGAGAGTCACTATGGTTTTAGGGAGAAACCTGGTGCTAGGGAAATTCCCAAGAATCCACAAGGATGATCCCAGCTAAGATTCCTAGCAGTAGTGGAAAGGGTTCCTGAACTGGCCTTCCCCTATTATCAGATTGGTGACTACCCCAACTATCATTATAGAGGCTTCTCCAGTAATTGATGGACTCAGATGGGCCTTCTGTATGTGGAGAGATAGTTGTGAAGTTTGGACTATCTGAGGGGGCCCCCAGCAGTGGGATCAGGATCTATCCTTGGTGCTCAGCCTTGTTTGTTGGTGCCCTTTCTCTGTGTTGAGATGTGATGCTATCCTTAATGCAGGAAAGAGGGACTTGGTACTGCCCCAAATTAATGTGTCCTTACCCCTCGGGAGGAGTAGAGAAGGTGTGGGCTGCTGTGGGGAGGCATGGGGAGTGTGAGCAGAGGGAGAACTGTGGTTGGAATGTAAAATGAAATTTAAAAAACAAATTGATCAATTTAAAAAACAATAGAACCCACCCCCCAAATCCTCTTAGCCAAGACTGGTGGTTCATGCCTACAATCTCAGCACTTAGCACGTGGAAAAAATAGAATGCAAGATACAATAATAAACATTATTCTTTATTTTTGTTTTATTATATTTTATTTTGTTGTGGTTTGTTGTTATATCTTAGAAGCCTGTTTTTTAAAATGAGAGACAGAAAGGAAGTGGACCTGGATGAAAGAGACTGGGTGGAGCTGGGAGGAGTAGAGAAAGGGAGTCAGGAGAAATTGTATTCAGATTATAGTGAACTTGAAAAGAATCTCTTTTCAATAAAGGGGGTGGAGAAAAGTTTTAAAAAGAGAAGATCATTGTAGGACTTCAAATTAGAGGAAACTTATTTAAGTTTCTGTGCCAAATGATAAAGTGCATATAAATATATATCTATATCTCATGCAACATGTGGAATATATCATACCTGAAAATATGGTTGCTATTTATCTGACAGTGCTGGTGAACATGGTGCATCTCACTGTGCACTTCTAATTTCTAGGTTTCATGCTGAATGTGAAGAGACAAAGAGAAGACCGATATGTATAGCTGAGTCCCAAACTGCCTCATCCATACCTTCCTGAGCCCATACAAGCATGCACAGAGGCAGAACCTTTCCCTGCCCCTCTAACAACAGCCAAGGCAATGAACAGAGGCTGCTTTGTAATAAGGCATTTACTTTTGATGCTTTCCTCCCTTTAGCAGGGCAGGGTTCTGGGAAGATAGCAAAGGAGGGGAAAGAGGAGAAGGGAGAAGGGAGGGAGAAAGAGAGAGAAGGGGTGTGGAGAGGGAGACAATGGGAAGAGTCAGGCTTCCAGCTAGAGTCAATTTACCACACCAAACAGCCTGGGAACCCTTTGGGACTAAGAGGTTATCTGGGTTGTTGGTGCATATTTTGAGTGTATTCACTCTTGATTTTAGCTCCATTGTAGCCAAGCCTACATTTTCCTCTAGCTTCATGTGCAGAGATTTCCAGGGCCAGTCCTTTTCCATTAGCTGAACTCAGTTTGCCCATCTGTATACTGGGACTCTGCCTTCTAATCTTGGCTCTCAGTGCCCTTTTCAGCAGGCTATGCTTTTGTTTATGAGTAGGTTATTCTTCTACCCCGATCTGTCTGCTCACGCTAGATATGGGCCATGTTGTATCTGCTCCTGGACTCTGCCCTATGGTTCTTTTGTGAGGCCCTCCATTTGCGCTCCTTAGACTGGGGAGGGGAGTCCCTGCTAAGTCTTTATTCTTACTAAGTGCCTGTTGTATGCCAGGTGCTGTCTTCCATGTTACCAACTCCTCTTGGCCGCACTTGTTATAGATCTGCTTGGATTAAATGCCCCTTCTCCACCGAGTTTTCTGTGGCAGGAGTGGTACCTTTCTCTTGGTGTTCTTTCTCCTCTACCTAACCTCAACAGAGCAATGTGCTGCTAATCCC